CTAAAGAAAGACATGCCAATGAAAGTACAAGAAGCCTGCAGAACACCAAATAGAGTGGACCACAAAAGAAAGTCCCCTCATCACATAATAATTAAAACACCAAATGTACAGAATAAAGAAAAAATATTAAGAGCAGCAAGGGGAAAAGGCCAAGTAACATATAAAAGCAAACCTATCAGAATTACACCAGACTTCTCCATGGAAACTCTGAAAGCTAGAAGGACCTGGACAGATATTCTACCAACTCTGAGAGAACACGGACTACTATACCCAGCAAAGTTTTCAATCACTATAAATGGAGAAAACAAGATATTCCATGACAAAACCAGATTTAAACAATATGTAACCACTAATCCAGCCCTACAGAAAGTACTGGAAGAAAAACTCCAACCTAAGGAAATTAACTACACTCACAAAATCATAGGCAATAGATAATTCCACAAGAATAAACTCTCAATGGACCTTAATTTCCCTCAATATTAATGGTTTTAACTCGCCCATAAAAAGACACAGGCTAACAGACTGGATACAAAGACAGAATCCATCTTTCTGCTGCATACAAGAAACACATCTCGAATTCAAAGACAGACATTACCTCAGAGTAAAGGGTTGGGATAAGATATTCCAATCAAATGGTCCCAAGAAATGAGCTGGGGTAGTTATCCTAGTATCTAACAAGTTAGAATTCAAAATAAAATCAATCAAAAGAGATGAAGAAGGCCATTTCATATTCATCACAGGAAAAATCCAACAGGAATAAGTCTCAATTCTAAACATCTATGCCCCAATACAAAGGCACCAACATTCGTAAAAGAAACATTATTAAAACTCAAATCACAAATAAGGCCTCACACAGTTATAGTGGGAGACTTCAACACCCCACTCTCACCACTGGACAGGAACACCAGACAGAAACTTAACAAAGAGACAAAGGAACTAACAGAAGTTATGACCCAATTGGGATTAACAGACATCTATAGCACTTTCTATCCAAACACAAAAGAATGTACCTTCTTTTCAGCATCACATGGAACCTTCTCAAAAATCGACCATATATTCA